TTAATTATCGGCTCATAAAGTGCTGCCAAAATTTCAACCATTGCGTTTTTTACCTTGAGGGCTTCAGCTCTCCACGGATCACTACAAAGAAGAAGATCGAAGTAGGCTTAACACATAATGTAGAATCTTCGGGCTTTGTACTAGCGAATCACATAAAGGTTAGGTGAAAAAGCTTCTTCGGTGATAAAGTTGATGAGGTCAGGCAGAACCTTTCAAAAGGTCAGGCCGCCTAAGCTTTTGTAACCTTATGTCTGACACAACTAACTTGTCTTCAAATCAGAAATCGCTTCTTTCCTGGTACAAATAATGGGATCATAGCCTCTTCTTGCTATAATCAAAATGTGGAGCCAAACCCCCTCCCCTACGAAAACTATTGCTCTTCAAATATGGTTAAAATCCCTCGTCAAACTATGTATGCTAGTGAAAGTGCAATTGCAGTTTTTTGAGAAAGTTGTGTATAAAGAGTTGATAGTATCATTTGACGACTAGGTTTTGTTTTGCCAACCAACAAAGCATCAGCAACTTAGAATCATCTTTTCGAGCTTGCTGTCATGCTGGCTACACTCACAAGAAGGTCACTAAAAGACAACGGTATGGGAAAGGCTGCGCGTACTCAAAAAGGTAGCCAGTTTTCTGATGCAAGGACTTCGCCTTATACTGATAACTGGTGCACCTGTGCGACTTCCTCATAGTCTGTGTAGAAAAGTTTGGACATGGTAAGAGCTTTCCGGAAGTTATTTGTCACCTGGCTGCAGAGATTAAAAAACGCAGAAAGGAGAGTTTATTCACAAACAGAACCTATAAAAGTACTAGCTTCAAATGGAAGAGAAAGAAAGGATTTTATGTCTAACGACACGATCCTGAGTGTCATCTAAGGGGAATCCTTTGATTGTTGTTGAATATAAAATGATGGAAGATTCGCTGACTCAGTGACGTATGCTCAATATAGCGGTCAGGATGAACCTAGTTTGAAGAAGTAATTGTTGGTGACTTACTTTGCAAAAACCCTAGCAACATCTTAATCAGCACTACGAGGTTTAGGATAGCTATTTTGACCCAAATGCAAACGCTGAGGATACATTTAATTTGATTGCTATCATCAATCACATACTTTAGCAGATTGAACATCATAAGCCTCAGGGAGCGGTCATACTCCTCTCAAGCACCCATAAGGGGTTGGGGCTCAAAAGTGCTTAAAAGCGCCAGAAAGCGCCGGAACACCCTCTTTCACGTGCACAGCATTGTCGTTGAAGCTTGTGTTTCAAGATAATACAAGCTGACAGTGAGGTCCTGGAAGTGAAGAGGAAGAAGAAGGGGAGGGGGGGGGGGTCGTTCTCGAAAGAGTTGTGCCTGATCTCTGGCTCAAATCTGATCATGATCAATATGTGTGAGTGCACTCATTGTAGAACTGAAAGTTTTGTATTAGGTTGTCCGGAAATTAATGCAGGTTTTGCATATTCTCACTTCAAAGCGTCATAACTCCTTTGAAATCGCATATTTTGAAATGCGGTAAAAACTACTATGATCAGCAAGTCTTTTTCTATTTGCGCCATTTTCTTTTGTAACTGTAGCTTCAACAAGGAAATTACTGGAAGCCAGAAAGTAAAAAGAAATTTTTTTGACAAGGTCATACTTGGCAAGCTGTAAACTCCTACCGATTATGAGTGTTCAGCCAGAAACTTCTGTAGCTTATAACCACAGACCAGTACTACATATATAGCTATGCAGAAAATTTTTCAGAAATTTTCTGCGAAAGAAAAATTTGCGGAATCAAAATTTTCCATTTTTTCGATATTTCCTCCACGGCTGTGATCTCCGATAATTTTGATTTTTTTATTGACCCATCAAAAATAAAGCCTGGGAGGTACCAGTTGAGATAATATCTGACGGCACTGGCCTCACTCTTTGAGCATGAGGAGAGATTTTCACGGTTGCTTCCTTCAGAAAAGTTTTCTACGCCATGGAGTGGCCGCGACGATTATTTATGTTAAAGCCTCAATTTCTCTACTCTCACAATCGTTCAAGAGAAGCGCTTTTATCTATTTTGTAGATTCACTCAACATCTTGCTTCAGCTATATTATCATGGAAATATCCCTCTTGCCGAATAAGTTCAAGCCAAAATAGTGCAAAGGGTAAATTTAGTGATTCAAAGCTTCGGATGGTTGTAGATTTTGAACAAACGAAGTTGGTCCTAGAAGTAGTATATATAAGAGAAAGCATGAAGAGCGGCTTCTTTTAGTATGCGAAGTTGGTCGAAAGATGCGCATACACAGAAGAACGATCCTTTTGAAATTGCATTTGCAAAAACCTGCATTAATTTCCGGACAACCTAATATTTGAAACACACGCTTCAACGACAATGCTGCTCACGTGAAAGAGAGTGTTCCGGCGCTTTCTGGCGCTTGTGAGCGCTTTTGAGCCCCAACCTCTTTTGTGTGCTTGAGAGGAGTATGACCGGTCCCTGAGGCTTATGATGTTCAATCTGCTGAAGTATGTGATTGTTGCAATCAAATTAAATGTATACTTAGCGTTTGCATTTGGGTTAAAATAGCTACCCCAAATCTCGTACTGCTGATTGAGATGTTGCTAGGGTTTTTGCAAAGTAAGTCACAACAATTACTTCTTCAAACTAGGTTCATCCTGACCGCTATATTGAGCATACGTCACTGAGTCAGCGAATCTTCCATCATTTTATATTCAACAACAATCAAAGGATTCCCCTTAGATGACACTCAGGATCGTGTCGTTAGACATAAAATCCTTTCTTTCTCTTCCATTTGAAGCTAGTACTTTTATAGGTTCTGTTTGTGAATAAACTCTCCTTTCTGCGTTTTTTAATCTCTGCAGCCAGGTGACAAATAACTTCTGGAAAGCTCTTACCATGTTTAAACTTTTCTACACAGACTATGAGGAAGTCGCACAGGTGCACCAGTTATCAGTATAAGGCGAAGTCCTTGCATCAGAAAACTGGCCACCTTTTTGAGTACGCGCAGCCTTTCCCATACCGTTGTCTTTTAGTGACCTTCTTGTGAGTGTAGCCAGCATGACAGCAAGCTCGAAAAGATGATTCTAAGTTGCTGATGCTTTGTTGGTTGGCAAAACAAAACCTAGTCGTCAAATGATACTATCAACTCTTTATACACAACTTTCTCCTAGGTCACGCAGAAGCTTGATCTTATTCAAAGAGCTTGGATTTAACATTGCTATAAAAGTCTATCCACCTAAATTCACCCCTTACCCTGCCATGGTACCCGGCGAGTTTGACCGAGCGAGGAGCTTGCCATTAAGAGCGAGACTCGCTCACAGTGGCGGTCCCAGGATTTCCGTCCAGTGGGGGGGGAGGCAAAAATTTTTTTCAGATGAAGGTGAGTGGCGTCAGCCACACACTCCGAAAAAATTTTTGGGGTGCTTATCGAAATTTTTGCAGGTTCATAATCCCTAAAATGTTGAAAAAGGGGCGTGACTTCAGTCACGCCCCCGAGAAAATTTTTTTACAAGGCTGACTTGATTTTTTAAAAAATTTCAAAATAATTTTTATTATTGACAAAAATAAACAAGTTACTTGCACATTTTTATAACCCATATAAGTAAATTTCAAAAATTTCGGGACCCATTCTCGGGGGATCGCGAAATTTATGTACGTATCAGTGGCGGTGCGAGGATTGCCTCCCCCTCGGACCGCCACTGATACGTACATACAGGCACCATACATATGTCATGACAAAAGTTTGTGTCAACTATCCCGTGCGCGAAATTGCTAAAAGGCAAATTCACCTGTTATTAGCAAAATCACCGCCTTGATCTGTGCCATAACCTCTTTCACTGCTAATAAATCTGATTGCAAATTTGAATTTGAACCCATCTTCCTGAGACAGATCTTCTAAATTTCAAACTTCCGTGATCGGCTTGAATAATAGATATACGATAAGGTAAAATATGTGGAATTGCTTTGGTGATGATGTGAAATAATGCGTATTATAAATGTGTATGTAGTCTGTACAATAAAAATGTGCAACAATTTTAATTTCACTAAAGCAATCAACCTTACACTCGCTGCGGCGGCGCGCGCCTTGTGCGTGCGGGGCTCATGTCCCCCGCCGCCGGCCGTCAAATGGCGCGCGTGCGCGAGTAAATGGTACGCGCGCCGCGAGTAGATGGAACGCGCGCCGCTAATACATGACATACCGTTTGCAGTTTGCTACTTCCTTAGGATGGTTTTTCTTGCTCTTTTTCGTGCTATAATGTGTCTTTTAATGTAATTGAGCAGTCTGTGTGATTTGGGTAATCATTTTATTCGTTATGGGTTAATAAATCTTACTACAAATATAGCTAAATCATCACTAGGCGTGGATTACAGATATAAGAGACCATAGAGCAGAAATAGTAACAGAAACAACAAGTAAACATGAAAAAGATGGACGCTTTGGAAGCGTAATAGCATGATAAAGCTCAGCGAAACGTTGAGTTGAAAAATAGCACCAACAAGTAGTTATGGCCAACAGCGAAGCAAATAAATTAAACAAAGATATCAAAAAGTTTTGTACAAAAGGAACAACGACAAAGCGAAACTAACAGAAAGAAATAACAGTACTTTTCCTTTTAATGTCTTCTTCTGCGCCTGGGTGGTGGATTGCGTGGCGTATTGAGTGGCGGATTAGGTAGTGGCAAGGGAGGGGATTGGGCGGGAGGTTCTCGTTCGGTTCGTCCAATAGTTGGGTTCCGTATCTGCAGCACTCGGGAACTGCTTCGATCATTCCATCGACGTCTCGCTTGCCTCGTCGCGAAAGCATCGACAGTTAAACGAATGGAATTGCGTTCAAAGAAGTTCAAAAGCATACCGGATTGGGAATCTACTTGCCGGCTTCGTATTTGTAGGAGCAAACGTCGCGCCTAAACATATACGTTGGATGTAAATGCGATTAATGTATGAATACCAAAACTTACAATGCAAGTTGAAGTGCTTTGAATATCTGCAGACGCCATTCTGCACGTTCGTTCCTCAAATCCTCCAAGTTCGCTCTACTTTCCTCTTCGTTCGCTCCAAGGTTCTTGTAGAGACTAAAATGTTGATAATTTTTTTTTGTCAGAAAGTCAAATACATAATTCACACTCACGTGGAGTTACTGAGATCTTGATCAAGCATACTTTAAGCTCGTCTTGCCTGTAACCGAGCATGTCTTCTCCCATATCTTAAGTGTTCATTCCTATTTATAAAAATAACAGACAAAAGAATTTCCCACCTTGCAAAATGTCTTCTACAACTTCCGATAGGCTCTTCAATTTGTCGTTCCTTCCATTCCTGCTGTTAGTCGAACGGAGTAGTCTTTTATCTTTTCTGGCGGATCCGTTATCTGAAAATGCGATTTGAACATTGCAGTGCATAACTCAACAGATGTGGAGACTCACGCGCGTAAGATGATGACGGTCGGAAGAACATAACTCCTGGTATGGTGGATCCTTATGCGTGGTTCCCATCGCGCCCAATATCCCAAGGTTTTTCTGAAACCAGATTTTGAGCGTAGTCGCTTTAATAATCATTACCTTGACAAATGGCGGTTCCACATCGAGATTCCATGACTTGGTGCAATTGAGGATTGAAACTGATGTCTGTATTGTTGGCGCCGTTGTTTTTTCAGTCACATTAACTATCGCACACATTTCGAGGTGATTGCGCGTCCTACTTCAGCCTAAATTCACATTTCTACCTTATATTTTCATTGCTAACGTTCAAAACTTACCGTCAGTCTGTTGGCTATACTCCATAAAAAATTTATGTCCGGTTCAACGAGTCGGTTTAGGGTCCGTACGTGGGTGTTGCTTTCGCTGCCATCTCCGATCGAACGAACTCCTGCAAAACATGCCATGCAGCAGCAGTAAAGTTGTGTTTAGAGAATTTACATAATAAGTGGATTCATCAGATTTTTCTTCTCTAATGTTCTTCAAAATAACTTTCGCGGCCATATTCAGGTTCAGTACTCCCGTTTCGATGCGATCGTGCAGTGTCGCGAGGAGAGGGGGAGACTGTTGCCTTTGACTGTGGGTCACTCGCGGCATTCGTACGCATTTCCCAAATAGTTAAAAATCAAATGTGCGGCATGATTTGCAGATTTCCCCTACCTTGTGGAACTTCTTGTTCCACTCCAAAAAATACGTCCTGTGAAGCAGCTACAACATCTCCTACAGCAGGCTCTCTAAAATATTTCAAGCAATGAAGCACAAGCATATAGTGCAAAAACTTACCGAACGACACGAGGCGATGTCAAGTCAAGCAATGTCCGCGGTTTGGCGTGGACCCGCCTTGGTAGAACGCGCGTTTTCGTAGGTGCACATGGAGAGCTCATTATACTAAAACTGTATAAATTAGCACGTTAGAAGGCAATTTTGATGAGATAACAAAAGGCGAGAAGTATGAAAGATCAATACTTTGCAAATCACATTCACGATTAACGTACGAAATCTTCACTATATTACATCAAAATGAGATCATAATTTGGAAGTAAAACTTGCACTTCCGTGATCCACCATGCAGCATGGTTTCTTGATCAGATTAGCCGTTCACGCAGGTAACTGCGTCTATCTTTTGACAAATGAAATTATTGGTCTCAACAATTTCTCTCATCAAAGAAAGCGCAATTCTGTTTGCTTCGCGTGGGATGGCTCCTGTGGGGTCATGCGCGGCATGATTTAATCTGTTGTGTAAGTTTTAAAAGCATTACACGTACGATATTGTTCTAACGAAATTTTACAGTCTTATGTCTGTGATTATACAAGAAAAGAACAATGGAGCCATAAATCATTTTCTCGCTTTTCCCATCTTTACTTCCCATGCAAACGAGATCCTGTCTAGTCTTCTTCGATCTTTTCCAGTACTTGTAAATGGAGCAAACTTTCCCATTAACCACAAGGCGGCAACTAAACTTGATGCTCGAGCGCATACTCGCATTTAGTAGAAAGCATATGTGAGAATAAACTAACTAAGGTATTTCGGAAAATCGAAGGAATCCGTGTTTTCTCGGGTTCTTCCAGCTCGGCGGTGCAGATGCGACTGTTTTTGGGAATGTAACAGTTTGCATCTATTTCGATTTCGACAGGAAATCTCAAAATCGAAACCATTTCACCGCTGTTGCGCAGGGGACAGAAATTGGGCCTACCTATTCGCTTGTTTGTTTTCAACACTGTTTTTAATGAAGTAAACGACGCATCGTCCACTTCATCTTCTACCTCACTGAAAAGTGCTCGGACTTTTTTGCGAGCAGATGTCTGAACACTAATGTTGAGGTTACTTTCAATCACAAATACAAAAATATTCGTTATCCGAAGGGAGTAATCCCAAGAGAGTAGGGACTTGGGAGTAGGGAGCGGATAAGGGGAAAGTAATTGGTTAATGGCCACTTTTTTGTTGGAACAATCTCGTTCATGTAATGTTTTTGGATAGAAGAATTTTTTTTTGATGAATGAAGAATTTGATGTAAACGTGAATGTGAATTTGACACAAAATGTATAAGAATGAGAACTTATGAACAATTACAGCGATGGTAACTTTGGCGTTAAGCCTTAGGCGTAAGGGAGAGGCGAAATGGACAAAAAAAACAAAATGAGCATCACCAGCGGTGACAATGACAGAATGACGGCGACAGGCGTAAATTGATAAGTGACCTTTCTGTCGCCGCCATCGCTTATAGACACAACACTTCAAACTCAAATTAAGGTCAGGTCACTAATCCGAAAATAATCTATATTTTACGGCAAAGTGCATAGTGCACACCACGCGCACTGCCATGCCAAAGCAGTATTTTATGATTTTGGGCAAACGTGCAGTGTTTTTGCATTTCTTGACTTCTTTTTTATTCTGATCATGCCTTCATGCCATTTCATTACTGCATATGCATTGCGACTGTGTTTTATCAGTTTGTCGAACCTAGATCCTTTCCAGATCAACTGTGGCAGCAAGATCACCCTCAAATGAAGAATCTGACAAAGGATTTTTTGCACGCTCTGATCTCCTTTTCGAAATCAGTCGTATTTTTTCGGGTCAAATACTGGTATGTTTTTCCAACAAGTCGTACTTATTCATTTTTCGCTTTTTGATTCGCTTGTAATTCATTTGCGAGTGGGAATGCGAGAACGCTGCACCCATGATGCTCAACGAATACAGATATGTTCATCTCCTTTGTGTAAAGCATTTGAAAGGAAAGATGATGTATAAACTTGGCCATATGCTCTCGCCTTTTCAATCTTATTTCAAAGTAATGGTAGGGGGTTCTCTTTCCTAGTTGCCAGTCTGTGCAAATGCTACACCAGTTGTTTGGCCATGGTTCACAAGAAAACGAAGGACTCCCGTATAAAGTTATAAACAAGTAAGGTTTTTTCTATCTATTAGCTCAGTCGGAATATCTTGTTTCATTCGTTTTTTAGAACATGCTGCGGCTAGGGCTTATTAGCAGTCTAAATGATGCATGAGGATAAGCAATCTAGTAAGCCTGTTTAATGTCTTTCTTTTCTTTTTTTCTTTGTCTTCTTTTTCTTTTTCATTCTTTTATTTCTCGGACTTTGTTCTATAGGTCGTTTATAGTTGCAAGGACGATTCCGTAGCGGAGCATGCTTTAGCCATGTGGCTTCGGGCGAACTGTCTCATTTCCTTGCTATGGCTACGTTCGGAGCTTACATACCCAACTGCCGATGCTCTATTGGGGTGGATATAAATGATATCAATGAACCCTGACTGAAGCAGAAAGGAAGATGAACAGGAAGATTCATCAACGTTACCATTGTGATTGTTATTCTCATTTTTTCCTATTGTTGCCTATTATTTTTGCCTAATTTGCTTTGACTCATTGTTTTGGTTGTGGGTGGGTGGCATGGGTGGGTGGCCTGGGTGGGTGGCATGGGTGGCTGGTATGGATTGGTGGTATGCGTGGGGGGGGGCATTGGTGAAGGTGGTTATTGGTGGAGATGGGTGGGGTTGCCTTTGATTTGATAAAATAAAAGATTTTTGATGTAAAGGATATATGATAGAATAAAGGGCGCACCTTTCTAATATATTATACATGCGGCGCTATTGGTTGTAGATTGGTCCATTTTGATCTGCAGTCTACGGTGATGGCTCTCAAAGGGTGCGGCCGACCATTGATACAATGGCCCGTGCTTCGTGATCTCCTGTTCCATGGCGTGATCGAAGAAAAACTGGAAAAATAATAAAATGGTGTGCATGTTTCTGAAGTGTAGAGTTGAACCTACGTGGGTTTTTATGGTAAATATTTGTGGGGCTAGCATGATCCACAACTCTCTAGTCTTGGCGGCTACTGTTTGTACCTTTTGGATGATGGTCATAGTCAAAGTCGATGTCTTTGAAATCAGTCTGACGCAAAACCAGTAACCAGGTAGTGCGGCTGCAGCTAACGGAGATGGGACTATGTCGACAGCGGCCACTAACGGGAAAAGCACACATGCAAGTTAAAATTTCACATATACAATATTGTGGATGCATTATAAGTACCAACAATACCTCGTCTACTTCGGTTGCTTTGCATGTAGGGAGATCATCGAGGGATAATATCAAGCTGGCTAAGTAGGAGTGAGAGGCATTCCTTCAAATTTTCCATGCTTTCTTGCGACACCCTCATACCTTCAAACCTAGATGTGCTGGGGAACAAATCTGAAAAATAAAGTTTTACATGTTAGACTCATGACAATGTAGCACCTCGCAGTCTATTTCTTGTAATGCCTTCCGAGCAAACGTGAAGGGCATCCAAGGAAATGCGAGGGGAGCATGAAGTCCATCATGAATGTCTTTCCTGCAAGATATTTGTCTCACTCCACACACAGCCTTGGTGGCGGCGGTGCAAGAGGAACCAGAGCTCTTGACCCCCATATCCAAGAAGGAAAGGGTCTCTGTCTCTTGTCTTCTTCTTCCTTTCTGGTTGATGTGGTCGACAAATTTGAAGTGTTTGTTGGAAATGTATGTATCATAGTTCTCACTGTTCATTCCAAACTGTCGGGCTTCTGCATTTGTGGCATACGATTCATCACTTCCAAGAGCGCATTTTCGTGGTTGGAAGGCACCCATACTCTTTGATTACACACACGAAGCCCTTGGATGTAGCATTTAGAACAACCGTACTCTGCGTTCCATCTAGGAACTCCGTAGAGTAACTGCTGAGCCTAGAAAGGCCGGGATTGAGCAAATTTTTCATTTTCTTTAAGTGCATACCGGCATGTCAGAAACGCCTCGGTAAAATTGTACTTTAATTGTCCAAGTGACTTCATCGACTACCATCTCTAGAGGTGCGCTATGGATGTTTTTCATGTTTTTCATGTTTCTCCTCCATTAGTTCGATGGGGATTAAGTCGGGCTTTCTGGTGGCCATTCTTGGGCTGCAGTAGCCATTAAGTACTTTTTTCTAGTATTTGCTAACTTGTGCTAATCAGATGTCCGAGTTGATTTTCCTCCGAAAAAACCGAGACTTGCACTGCAAGACTTTAACACAGACGGTTTTTCATATTACCCCAAACTAGTTCTATTGGGTTGAGGTCAGGGCTTCCGGGTGGCACGCTTGGGTTTTCAGGCGCTAGTCACTATACACTTGTTCAAGTATTGTTTGTTGAGCTAATCCAATGTCCTAATCGTTTCCTCGTGGATAAATAACGCCAGGGTTGCATAGTGCGTGCGACTTTAGGACTGTACTGAGATATTTTAGGTTTCCCCAAATCATTCAATTGGGTTGAGGTCGAGGCTTCCCGGGTGGCCATTCTGGGGCTCGTATGCTAGGCACCAATTACTTCTAGTACTGCCACTTTGCCATCTTGCGTAAACGTAGGAGAGCTTAGCACTCGCATGACTTGATGTACTGCTTTGGACTTTCGAATTTTGTAAGGAGAAAGAAAAGGTATTTAAAACTCATACCGTGATAGAGCAGAGTTTCCTATGATTCTGTACTTGCTCTGCCTGCTGTGCGCGTGGGGTCCTTGTTTACATGCAAAAGACGATCTCGCATCCTTTTGAAATGCTTTGTCGTCTATTTCCTTTGTATCCGAAGCAGGGCTCGGCAAGAGCTGGCACCAGAAAAATTCAAAACGAAGTTCCCTTTGATCTTGGCAATTTTACACAAAAGTCCCCTTTGACCTGTTTTGAAGACCCGTCGTTATTTGAATCTTGATGAGATGTCTGAAACGCAATAAATACAACATTATGAAGAACAATACAAGAATAAACGACACAAGACTGCAAGAGCGACAGATAATGAATTTGACCGAGTATGATGAAATCAACGGTTTTCGCGCTGCATTTGTTTAGGACGCGCTTCGTGATTGGAGCAGATTTTTTGACTGCGGAGCAGACCGAGTAGTTTTTAGATGGCTATAAAACGCCGAAAGGAAAAACATTATAAATCGTCTTTTCTCTGCATGTAAGTTTTTACACTGTAGATACGGTTTTTGTTAAAATATGAAAACTTACATGAGCAAAGGGCGCCCGCAAGTTTTGTAATGTATCTGATTGTAGACAATTCATGAATAAGTATGTCATGGTCATTTGTTCTTTGCTTACTGATAGAGCTAACATCAGTTTTTAGTAGTATTGAGTGAGCAGAGGGTGGTTTGAATCTTCAAAACATTTGCATCATTGCTCACGGTGAAAAGCATTCTCGAGTCGGGCGGGTGTAGAAGAATCAATAGTAACAAAATGATTAGTGAGATGTGATTAGTAATAGAGTAAAGGGAGTTTAGGAGCATGATTTCAGCCATAGCGGAAGCATGAATGCCCTTGGCGAAAAGATGGGAGTCCTCGAGAGCACTGAAGACAGACCAGTTGTATAGCTAGCAACGAGTAGCATAAACCTAGGTGCCAAATGCATTCAAACACGACAAGCTGCGCCGAGGGAGTCTGTCAAAAGGCGCGATTCCTCCGCCTGTCGCTAACTCAAAACTCCAATTTAGTGCTGTGTGAGTCTTGAAAATTTGACAGCTAACGTACATTGGCTTACTATCTGTTTGAGGTTGGCACTTTCTGAGTTTGGTGGCTTCTACTAAAACTGACAGAAATATTTAAGAATTTGTTCTTAAATGCACTTCCATGAGTTTTGATCTTCTTCCTTGTTGTTTTAAATTGATTCCAAGCAACTTATTCAATATATTCTTTGAAATTTTAGATATTTTTAGAGTGTTACAAAACACTTATTATGTCCTATTTTGTGTCCATCTGGCAATAAAATTCGCGCCTCTTGACATACATCCCTGCGCCGAAGTGCTCAACAGAAGAAAGCTTTTTCCCGCTGTCCGAAATCATGCTATTCCGCTTTGCAAGGTGAGAGGAAGGTTTTATTCTATCACTTGTTGTAAGCAAATTAAACCAAATCAACAAAATCTGGTAACGTAATTAAAGTTATGATGTTAAATTCACGCAATCGGCGGAAATGCAAGAGAATTTTGCGAACGTTCTCCATTCTCATACTTCTTTCGTGAACTTTTAGTACGTCCTCATTTGCCTCTGCGCGTATGCTCACGTACACAGAATTTTATCCTAATTAGCCTGTGGTCGTAAAAGGACCAATTATTTGACGCTAAGAGAGAAACTATATATTGCGCTTCTGCGAAATCGCTTTCGTTCATAATGTAGCTTTGAACAAGTAAGAACAACAGTGGCCCGTAGTAAACCCCCATTCATCTCAGGTGACTTGAGATGAATCATTCAGAAGAACTTCCTCGGGTGACCCTAATCCCGCCCACCTTCCCGTGCTTTAGGATAGTCAGTTCAACAGTCAGAAGAATGTCTGGTCAAGTGTCACAGTCAGTTCACCAGAATGCCACTTATCCGAAGTTGAATTTTAGGGTGACCCGAGAGAAATAGTGTGCTTAAGAGGAGGATCAGACAAATTTCCCGTAAGTTGCTCGTGAGTAACTTACGGGACAATCTAGCCCACGTATTCTTGCGGTGCAAAACTCCCAAAATTGCACGTTTTCGGCGGCCTAAATGGGAGAGGATCGATGAACAGCTGATTGCGGCGAAAAAATAACAAGAAAACAGGATTTCTTGGATTTCTTCTTTTTTTCAGAGCTTGACTACGTTTTTCCCTCAAATCTGCTTGGAACAAAGATTTTTTGATTTTTTTAATTCGCTCTATGTTCAAAAATTTTCGTTTTCCATGAACTCCTCGCCAAAATGTGTTTGTTTTATCCATCGTTTGCTTGGCGATATCTTTGACAACGGTCGCCATCGATTTTTCTCGATAGCGGCCGCTATCAAAGATTGTCCTGCGGTGGCGCAAAAATGTGCCACTAGCCGGCTTTGAACCATGGACTTTCTCATTGAAACCCATCCGCTTAGCCTCTCGACTACACCACTCAAGGGGTTAATTTTTTGAGAACTTACAAGACAAGATCTTTGTACAAGATCTTTGGGTCTGAAAAGCGATCCGAATCCGGATCGATGGCTCACCGGATGCCGGACTGAGGCGCTCTACGTTCAACGTAGGCCCGCCCCCAACCGAGTTGGGCTGAGAGGGGGTTTACTACGGGCCAGTGGTGACGATAATCAACTTACGTTAACTATTCTTGCTTCTTTCGTCAAAAACAGTTTTCAAAATCACAGCATCCACTCACACTTCACACCCACAGTTCGAAATATCATTTTTGCACAAAACATTCCGGAAGGCTACTTACATCCGTAGTAGAGGTCGCTCAGCGCTCAGCTGAAAGGGAAAACAGCTTATGGGAGCTACCCATGCTGTACGGAGCCTGCTTAATTGAAAACCGTCTTGCGTAATTTATTAGTTTACTAGCTGGCTATCCGGCTCCGCCCGGCCCTTCACCCTATGATAATTGCCATTTCCGATTTTTGCACCCCTGTGTGATCTCGCCAACCCCGTAGGTCAAACTTTGGAAAAAAAATCTTCGATAAAATTGATGAAAGTCAACTAATTCAAAAACTAATATTGTAATCGTAATTAGCATGCTCAATTACTCCCCTGCACCGACTCCCAGCCTTGTAGGTTAAACTTTGCAAATAATTGATAAACTTGGTAAAAGTAATCAAAAATTTCCAAAAGCTAATTTTATTCGCAGCTCAACATCCTCATTACCCCCCCCCCCTCCCGCTCCCTCCCTCCCCCCCCCCCCTCCTCTCCTACACCAACTCCCAGCCCCGTAAGTCATCTTTGCAAAGGATAAGACCGATAAAATCGACATTGATCGATAACGAAAAGTAGCCTACGACATCCATTCCACCCAAAGTGTATATCGAGGAATCCACCTAAACCTATAGTGGATCCAATAGAGTATAGTAGTCGGTAGCCTTGCTTCTATGTTGTTATACGTCCAACACGATAGTCGCTATAGTCGTTTATACGATACAAATATATATTAAAAGCCAAGTGGTAGTGGAGAGCTTGGCGACAAATTAGAGTGAGAATGAGACACGGAATGAACTATTTCCCAAAAAGTGGTATGCTTATGTACAGTCTCAAGTAAACAACCAATTCAACATAAATACATTTCTATGAGGTTGTGTAATAAGTTCTGTCCCATTCTTTCTTCCGATTTTTTCTCATTATTTTGCGCGATGTTCTGCAAATTGTTTATATGCATTTGAAAGCTCTTAGCCATCTCTACCAAAACTTTCATCTCGGTTTTCTACATCAGATGACTTAAAAAGGTCTTACAGAGTCAAATTTGGAAAATCAAGGAGGGAAAAGTCCATTTTCGACAACTACGTTACGTCGCCCTCATAAATAGTCAGAATGCCTAGGAATAAGCTCGAAGAATTTGCTACACGTAAGCAAAGAATGCTTTAGCTTCTATTGCGCTTCAGAAGCGCTGAAACTTTTCAAAAATCATTTTTGTAGGCTTTAGAAAAGTCTTCTTTTTAACGCCTTTTCAGCGTTGTGTTGAGCATCATCTGAAGGCATCCTGAGGGAAGACGGTAGGCGGATCATCCAGAAAAGACAGAGGGGATAGTTTGTGGCTTTGAAATTATCGAATTCGTAGGTTAAATACTCAAAACTCGAATTTTGGGAGCCACACAGCGAGACGAAGAACATCGCCGTGACAAAGTCTTACCTTGCCGACTTTTGAAAAAAAGGCGTTAAATAGCCGTGGATGGAAGAGAACATACGCAAACAGTGATAGAATAAGTGTAGAAGTCTAATAGATTGTTTTGGTTGTTGTCAAGTTTGTTTAATAAGTTTTACCAAAGAAAATTGAGAAAAATTTGAAGGAAAAAAGATGTCGAAAATTGATTTTTCGGCTCTTTGGATTTTTAGTTTCAATGATAAAATTCTTTTT